TGGTTGAATAAGTAGATAGGGCTGTACTTAAAACAAATAAGCTGATTTCTACATGTCTGTAACAATATTTCCAAAATTATTTTGTAGCCTTTTGTAGTCTCAAAATAAAAGAATTTTTTCAGGTCCCTGTCTTAGTAGGACAACCTGTATAATGCACGTGCAAATAACTCCTGTGTGTGGGCACACACATGCACATACACGCACCCACATGCCCAACTTGCATCATCACATCACATCACAAGATATGATGCAGTCACTGAAAGTTGGACTGAGAGAGGCTACATGTGTTCAGTAGAACTACTCGTACAATACAGAAAAGGAACAGCTGCAAACACAATTAAGAGCTGCAGCAGAAAGAGGATAAGTGAAACTGAGAGAAGCAGCACCTGCACAGAAGATCTCCAGCACTGAGAACAAATAGAAATTAAATTAAGTGACTATTTCCAGAAATGACATGGTCATTCAAAGTGAAACTGAGAGAGGCTATGTCTGTACACCATATATAGTAAGGAGCATCACTGGGAACAGAGCTAACAGCTATCCTAGAAATGATGGAGTCCCTCACCAGTGAAACTGAGAGGCTGCATCTGAACAGAAGATCTCCGATATGCAGAAGGCAAAAATGGGAACAGAACTAAGTGCTGCACTGGAAATGATGCCGAGTCACTGAAAGTGGAACTGAGGGAGGCTGCATCTCTCTAGAAGAACTTTAACACTGAGAAGCAACAGATGGGAACAAAATTAAGAGCTGCCCTAAAAATGATGGAGATACTGAGTGGGAGAGGACACTTCTGTTATCAAGAAAGGACCGTTGGGAACAGAACTATGACTTGTCCTAGAAATGATGGGGTCAGTGAAACCAAAAATGAGACAGGCAGCATCTATACAGAAGACCTCCAACACTGAGAAGGAACAGATGTGAATAGAACTAAGAGCTCCTCTAGAAAAAGTGAAGTCACTGAATGTGGAAACAAGAGACACTGCATCTGTATAGAAGAACTCCAATATAAAGAGGGAAAAGATGGAAACAGAAGTGTTGCCCTAGAGATGATGGAATCACTGAAAGTGGAACTCACAGAGGTCACATCTGTACAGGGGATTGAGCATGAGCACTTTCATAGGGCATCTAAAACCAATAACTTCAGTGTCTTTGTGATGCAGAAATATGACAGAATCATCCATTTAGTAGGCAACATCATGCCAAACACATATCCCTAGCAATGAAGACGCCCAGAATAGTCTATGTACTTACCTCAGATGGACTGACCTGACATAGTCTGAGCCGTGAGACAGAAAAATATGGTCATGGGTCCCACTGGAACCAGAAATATGAATGACTGACTGCACTGGCAAAGGCCAGCAAAATCATTATTTTTGCTAACAGAGCCAGCTCCTAGTCACTGGATTACTTCAGTGCAAGGAGGGACTAGGTCCATGACGACAAAACACGAAGGAACTGATTAAGAACCGCCTAACAAACTCCAAACGATTGTGAATGCCTGTAAACAATTATAAATAAGAGTAAACATTGTCAAAAGAAATCATGTCTAATTTGAACCAAGTCTGTAGTTGCTATGGCAGGACACTAGTGTCAGAAGTGGGATTGTGGACTGTGAGCAGAACCGACATGATAGCTGGTCACTGAAATGTTAGAACATCTCATAAGTGACTTTAGTGTCAGCAACAAAAGCCTGATGGCCATAACAGCCAACCAAGAATGGATGGATGCCACCCAGGACAGATGAGGGCCAAACTAAGGTTGGCAGGGAATAAATAAAGGCTGCAATTAACACCACCCAGGAACAGATGAAGGTTGTTATAAATGCAATTAGGCTGGCCCAGATCGAATTTGAAGAAACCACTAGCAAACAAGTGGAGGCTCTCCACATGGTACTCATCAGTGGGAAGGACAAACTTTGTGAGGAATTTCACAAGGAGACCCAATGGATACGACCTGACAGACATGCGATGAAGATGTATAAGAACACTGAACGGCCCGAACAACAGGATGACACTAAAGAGTCCTATTCATCAAACAATGGAACCACTACATGGTAGACACTCAACTTCCTTTCAAGAGGCAGTATAAAAGATACAAACCAAATTTGTTCGAAATTTTAGCAAAGTCTTTTTAAACCACACTTGTAAACAAACTAATTTGTAATATATTCATGCACACTGCTGTAGTTGTTAAAGGATAAGATTTATATTCATGGCATTGTAATGATATTGTATGTGTAGTGATACTGACCAATCACACTGTAATAGTAGTTTCTGCCTGTATTGATATATCCTTCTGAAGATGGTCTCTCAGACCGAAACATATAAAGGATGAAAGATTAAAAACAATAAAAAAAAAGAACATTTATCAGTCATACTGGACAGGGTTGATAACCTTTCATAACATTGCTAGTGTGATGGGACCAGGATGAACCAAACCAAATTTAGAGTAAATTCACCAAACTTTGCTTGGTCTATATTCTATCACCTGTTTTATGCCTTGGCTAGGTAAAATTCGACAGCAGAGAAGGCCACGCATCTACTCGCCTGAAGGGGCAGGTGGCTGACATTCTGCATGGCATCCCTGCAGAAGCTACCTATGAAGATGCTGTCAAGATGTTTGAGGGTCACTAAGGGATCCACCAACTGGCTGCAGCTACCTTTCCCACCTGATAGTCAAGATCCAACTGAAGGGTGAGCCTCTGCAAGAGTTTGCTGCTGTTATAAAGCATGTGGCCCACTGGGCCCCTGTCAGGCTGCTCAAGCATTCCATTCAGAGGGATGCAGCATACTTGTTGACGGTATAAGGGACTGAGAGGTGAAGCAACAGCTGCTCATGAACAGCAATAGGATTTGAACAAGGCCCTGAGGCTGGGAGCTGGTAAGGCATCAGCCGGACCACCCACAAGGTTTTACGAGAAGTTAGAGCCAGGCCACCCATGAGAGGATAGCTCACCCCAGATGAGTGCCATGTGGACCAGTAACTTGTGTGCTGGATGTGCAGGAGCAGGACCACCGGTACCAATACAACCACCCCTTCTGTCAAACTCAATGTCAATGATAACCTAAACACCAAGGCTGGATCTGAGGCAAGCCATGCCTCATGACCATCAACACTGAGAGGTTGCCCGAGAAGAAGCCATACACTATACAGACGGCATACGCAAAAACTCTCCCCCTCCTGAGAGAGGTGCCATTGGAACTGACAAGTATGTCCTGGGGCTGGATGTCTAACACTTTTCTGTGCTATGACTGGGTAGGGAAGTAGTGCCGTGGTGCGACCATGTTCATTTCACCATTCAAAGGCCAGCAACTTGGTGATATTGGTGTAGAAGCGTCATGGCATAATGTAGGTCTAACGTCAAGGGGACTCATACTCCAGATATTTTAAGGTTTTAAGCTTTTACGTGCTTGAATTGTCAAGTTTATTTTTAACAAGGTACATCCCCTGAAGCTGTTCTTGCTATGATTGAAACATATCAGGGTCTCTGTAACATATGGCTTACTACAGCAATAAATGACATACACTTGAATGGTAATTTGAATTTGACTTTACAAATAGTGTATCAGAAAATGAATCCTATCAAAGAACTTAGATATGCTAACAGCAATTGCTTCACCCATGGTTCAAAGATGGATTTACTGAAGGCTGTGACTTTTCAGCATATCAGTATTTGAGATACAAGTCTCAGCAACCACACAAAGACATGCTTAATTCTGGGTTGCAATACTGTCAGATGTCAGGAGTGAACAGTAACTGCCTGTAACATGTGACTTCAAACTGTATAAGAGGTCTGAGTGAGGCAAAAAAGTTTATTGCAAGCAAAACTGTGGATTTTCAGTTACCAGCAAGTTGGAGGACTTAAATAAAATGTGCAGCAATACATATTTTGTTATATGTGTACCACTGGAGAATTTTTGATATTAAAGAAACAGGCTGTGAAAAAAGAGTGGTAGCATTCAGTAGATATAGTCAATGCTGATACAAGATAAGGAATGAGGGCACAAAGTTTCTAATGGAATACTGCAGTACTGTAGCTGCTAGAGAGTGTTCCTAAGAATGATGCACATTATCAGAGAAGTTGGTAAGACTCAGATATAGTATTAGAAAAAACCTGGGTTACAGTTGCTGGAACAGGAGTGATGGTTCCAGTGATCTAAGAATTCCATCAACATATAGCTGGCTGTCTTACTGTATGCTATGTCATGAGTCACAGAGATGATGTGTTGGAACCAGTCAGTATAAACTTCCAGCACTCTCATTTGAAAGAATGCGAAACCAGCAGTGAAGATGAGGATGATACATAACAAATGTTCAAGGATTTATGTTTTGCTGAAAATGTTTATAATAATAATGTGAAGCATTAATCAGGTGTATAATATCACCTGTTACAGTTAATTCATAAGCTATTTCTGACAAAAACAAATCTGGCAATGTTTCAAATAACCTGCTACTGTAGCTGCTGCCCAGTATAGCATCACATTCACTAAGGCAAATAATTAATCCCTTTCTTTCTAGTCATGTTTAATTCACAACATAATTTTCACTCAATTAAAAAGTTCTAAATAAAATAAATTCCACCCCTTTCTGATAACAGAATCACTGTTTTTAATGAAAGGAAAACTGAAAGCTTTTTTCATAAATATAACCAGAAATTTATTGTATGAGAGTGAGTGGTGTTGAGCTGTGGAATTTTCAACGGCAGTTACGAGGTATTTCAAGGAAATGAGGAAACCCTCAGCATTAATAATAACAGCACTTTCAAAATTGCATGTAAGGAACAGCAAGTATTTTCAAACTTCTTCTCTTTTACATAGAAATTTTTCTTCTCCTTCTGATTCTACACTCAGTTCCAGGTTCCCATGTAGACTGTTGACATTTTCAAGCATAACAGTTGTGTGCAAATTCTTGAGATGCAACTGATTCTGTTCCTTAACAAAGGCTGCATAATGCCAGAAGTCTGTGCTCTGCAGCATTTTGTGAACAGCCTCAGACCTACCTTGGAATGTGTTGTCCTGTTTTTGATGCTTCATGACTTCTCTTGCTCTCCTCTTCAGTAGCCTGTCCTTTTCACGGCGCCTTTCAAGTTCTTCGCTTGACATTGATGCACGGAATTTCCTCATGTATAGTCTGTTTCGTTCTCTTTGCCGTTCAAGCTGTTGAGGTGTCAGAGCTATAACAGGCTTCCTTTTATGCTTTCTGCTTCCCTCATGCCATTTTTCCATGCCATTTCTCTCACTCAGTTCTGGGACTACAGACATAAATGACATTTTTTTATGTGTCCTGTCTGTCTCCCTTTGTCTTTTAATTTCTTCATTTGTTAGTGAAGCCCGGATTTTTCTCATGTACAATCTGTTCCGCTCCCTTTCTCTTGCAAGTGCTTCTTGAGATTTCGATGCTCGATACCGTCTTTTACGCAGCCGATTTCTTTCCCTTTGTTTTGCAAGCTTCTCCTCTTCACTCATATTAACGTGTTTTCTTGGTCTTCCCCTTTCTCTTTTTAGTTCCACATATCCATTCCATGTCATTTTACTGTTAAAATCAAGAAATACAAACAAATAATGATCTAAAATTCTTACATTATAAATAGTAAAGTGAGAAAAATAAATATTCTTAGTAATGCAAACTGTAATATGTCCTGAAGACAAAAGAAAATTTAAAGAAATTCTAAAATATTTATCATAATTACTATTGAACATTGATAATTTCAGATACATTCATCAACTGTCACACTTAAAAAAAAGATTTTAAGCAACCCAGAAACCAATACCCACAATGTTTTACTTGTTCAGTGGATGTAAGGGCCCACCAAGTCAAATTTATTGGACATACACGGTGTGTCCAGGTTCTATTAGGACTGTGTTCATTAAAAATACAAGATATATGATATAAATTCCGTCCTAAGTGCAACAATTTATTGTAGGTCTTTCATTTTGCTTTCTTCTACACTACGTTTCGGCCGCAAACGGCCATTATCAGGTGTATACACTCACGTAGCTGTTACACTGCACCCAGTTTAAAATTTAAAAACACACAGGTCTTCCCAATTGGCTAACAGGATCTACTTCACTGATATTTGTCTGATTCATACATCATCTTTTTCACCCACACACATCAATTTTGACATTCATGAACTGGCACTTTTTTATCTTCAGTTCCAATTTAGGAAATTCCTTCAAAATTTTTTCCAAATTTTAAAATTTAAAATTCTCAGGGTTACTTGCCCCACGTCTATAATGCNGTGTAGATAAAAAGTGCCAGTTCATGAATGTCAAAATTGACGTGTGTGGGTGACAAAGATGATGTACGAATCAGACAAATATCAGCGAAGTAGATCCTGTGAGCCAATTGGGAAGACCTGTGTGTTTTTAAATTTTAAACTGGGTGCAGTGTAACAGCTACGTGAGTGTATACTCCTGATGATGGCCGTTTGCGGCAGAAACATGTAGTGTAGAAGAAAGCAAAACGAAAGACCTACAATAAATTGTTGCACTTAGGATGGATTTATATCATATATCGTATAGAGTGTAACAGGATGCTTAAATATAACATTGAAAAATACAAGATTTTAATTATTTTCAAAATTTCACTCATTTAATTCAAAATAGTCTCCTTCTGAATCAATACATAGCTGGAATCGATTGAAAAGTTTTTGAAAACATTCACTGTACTCCTTTTGTGGAATCGCATTTAAAACTGCGGTAGATTCCCTTTGGATGTCCTGGATGGTGTTGTGATGGCCTCCTTTCATCACCAACTTAACTTTTGGGAACAACCAGAAATCTGCTGGAGCCAAATCTGGCGAATACAGAGGATGATCACGGACTGTGATCCCTTTTCTGGCCAAAAAATCGTGCACGATCTTCGATTTGTGGGTTGGGGCATTATCTTGGAGGAGCAACCAGGAACCTTGCTCTTGATATTCAGGTCGAAGTCGAAGAATTCTCGCCCACAAAGCATTGAGGACGCTGAGATAATAATCAGAATTCACTGTTTGAACTGCTGGCAGAAATTCCTTGTGAATTGATTCCTTTGGAATCGAAGATAATGGTTACAAGTGTCTTTACTCAACTCTTTTGCATGGGCACTTTCTTTGATTTCGGTGTCTTTGGGCTCAACCACGCTGCACTCTGCTGCTTAGTGAGAGGTTCATACTGAAAAAACCATGTATCATCACCCGTAACAACCGATTTTGTAAACTGTGTATCACTTTGGGCCGACCATAACATGTCTTTGCAGTGTTCCACTCTGAATGTTTTTCATCGCCTGACAGCACGTTCGATACAAACCACACACAGACCTTCCGTTTGCCCAAATCCTGAGTCAACATTTGATGCACAGAACTTTCTGGTATTCCCAAAAGTTCCTCGACGAGTCTTGCAGAAACACATCTGTCTGATGCAAGGATTTCGGTCACTTTTTTCACATTTTCTTCAGTGCAAGTTGTTCTCGGCTTTGATGCACGTGAAGCATCTTCAATGTCCTCCGTGCCATCACGAAATATAGCATAACATCAAAAAATGTTCAAGTGACTCAAACAATCACTACTGTACACACTTTTCATCATTTTGTATGCTTCACCGGCTGTTTTGCCTAACTTCAAACAAAATTTGATGTTGGCTCTCTGTACAACTGCCATTTTCCGACAAGCATCAGAACAGTCCTATTACATTCAAGGTCAGAACACATGATGCAGCTATGCTTGCGCTTTGAAATTATAGACAGTCACAATTGAAAATTCAAGAATCTTAATGCCACAACTCATAAACAGATGGCATTGCAGGGCAACATTTAAAAAAAAATAAGTCATAACGGAACCTGGACACACCGTGTACATATAACAATTGTCTAAGTTTCAAGAAGACCCTACACAAAATTAGCTTACGAGTCGCATAACAACTAATTACGTTAGAAATCAAGGTTTTGATAACAGAAAATGGAAACAACTTTTTCACTAATATGCACATTACAATGTAGACTTAAACTGTTTCCCTCACATCACAATAATAAGCATTTTATATAAGAATTAATAAAGTTGCACAGTCACCAATGTATTAATCTGTATAATGGCTGAAAGGAAAGTAGAGGAGTGTGTTTGCTGTCCCTGTAACACAATTAGAACCAACAAGCACTTCTGAAGGCTGTTGCTTCTGTCTTATGAAAATTATGAAGGTTTTCTAGGACAACAAACATAAAATTATGTACCCCTGATGTCAGATCTGCTCTGAAGCTTGTGCAAACACGATTTAGCCATTCTGCTGACGGGAATGAAAATCACATATAGATGGCAAATAACAGGAAGATAGGAGAAGTATGTTATCATCTTCTGTTCCAACTTATATTTCACTGAGTCAACGATCTTATATCATAACTGAAATTTATCAGTGCAACAAGCTTAGCTCTTAGACTGAGATTACAATGGATTGTTTTCGTTAAAGCCAAAGAAAATTTCTACATTTTGAAAAAGAAACCAAAAGCTACTGACATTTTATAGTGTGATTGACTCTCTTTGGGTGTGCTCTGACATTCACAGATTGAGGAAAGAGCTGACATTCAACATAAAGCCACAGAATGACAATTATTTATACAGATTCATCCAAAGTGTGCTTTAAGGCTGCTTTGTTAAATAACAGGAACAAAGTAGAATTCAATACCTATGCCCAATTATATTGGTGTGCAGGAACCTGAAGATGGCATGTCATTTGTACTGAATGCAGTCAACTATAAGGAACACTGCTGGCAATTAAGTGACGTCTTAAAAATTGCTATGCTTTTATTAGAGTTGCTACAGAAATTTATGACATATTGCTGTTTCCTTTGACTATGAAGCAGTCGAGTAACTGAGAGCCATAGTGTTATTAAGGACTGGAAATTGAGTGGAGAAATTCTTTTTGGGAAAAGACATACAGAAAATATCAGCTGGTATTGCTTAATAAATTAAATAAAAAGCTGGTGCCCAATGAAACATTTTGTAAAAGTTTTAAATAAAATGCCATTAGTTCTGACTACCTGTAGTTAAAATTTTGAAACACAAGTGATGCAAAACTAAAAAGAAAGTACTGTCTGTTGGTGTGCAAAAATAAAATCTTCATACTTGTACAATAGCCTCAATGAAATGCTAAAGCCTAATGAATTTACAGCATGGATTCTAAGTACCTGTTTGTAATTTCAAGTAAAATAAAGCAAATAAATGATGACACTGAGTGACAGCTGGCATGAAGCTATAAAAAGGTAGGATACTCCACAAAATTTGCAAGACAAATAATAAAATGAAGAGACATGTTCTGTGAGAAAGCCAAATACAGTAGCATATTTTTATTATCTGGGCAGCAGTTTTTCTGTTTCCTATTCTTTGTATCATTCATACTACTTGTACATGCTTCTTTTTCATTTTGTTCTGCATACTGTACATTTATTACTAAATATAATTCAATTTTCACCCAATCATCTTATTCACTGATGTCATCTGCAATGTGTATTTTCATACATTTTGCATAAATAACTAAATAACCAACCAACCTAATGGAGATCAGTCCTTCTTGAGAAGCTGCCAGTTGTGCAACAACTCAAGAATTTCCAAACATTTTATGGAACCTGAAGTTTCATTACCAAGTTCACAAGAGCCGTCCACTGGTCCCTATCCTGAGCCAGACCAATCCATTCCATACCACCCGCATCCCCTCTAAGATCAATTATAATATTATATACCCACCTACTTCTTCGTCATCCTAGTGGTCTCTTTCCTTCTGGCTTTCCCACCAAATATCCTATGAATATTCCTCGTCTCCATTCATGCTATATGACCTGCACATCGCATCCTCCTTGACTTAATCATTCCAATTATACCCGGCAAGGAGTACAAATTATGAAACTCTTCATTATGCAGTTTTCTCCAGCACCTGTTGCTTCATCTCTCTTCAGCCTAAATATCCTCCTCAGCACCCTGTTCTCAAACACCTTCAGTCTACTTGTATGTACATCCTTTACTGTCAGAGACAAAGTTTCACACCCATACAGTACCAAAGGCAAAATTACAGTTCTGTATATTTTAATTTCTATGATTATAGATGGCAGATGAGAAGACAAAAGGTTCTGGACTTAATGGAAGCAAGCATTAACCGAATTGAGTCCCCTCTTAATTTCCTCCTGAATCAAATTCTGAATTGTTACTGTCGCAATATTTTCAAAGGAACTGTTATCTATCATTAAGTCTTGGGTTTGTCCCACATTCTGGTAATAAGAGAACAACATATACTTAGATTTCTCTACGTTTACTTCTAGACCAACCTCATTAGTAGCTTCAATTAATGTTTTTCTTCATGGCATCTACGATACCTCCCAATAGATTAACATCATCAGCATAGACCAGCAGCTGATGTGCCCCATTTAATTTCAGTCCCACCTGTTTTTCTGCACCTTCCTAATGGCATATTCTAAAGGAAAATTGAAAAGAAATGGCAATAAAGTATCTCCGTGTTTTAGACCATTATGGATAGGAAATGTATAAGACAAATGTTTACCTTTACTATAGGTTCCATTTAAATACTTTGTGATCAACCTATTAGTTTCATGAGTACCCAAAACTCTATGAGAATACTGTACAACACTTTCTTCTTAATTGATTTATAGGCTCTTGAAGCCCATGACTAGCTGATGTACTATCTCACTGTACTCCCATTGTTTCTCCAGTATCTGATAAATGCAAATATCTGATCAGTAGATGATCTGTTATGTTGAAACCCACAATAATGAACCCTCATAATTCTGTGTACATATAGACTTAGCCTTGAGATGATTGTGGATAAAATTTTGTATGGAGCTGATAACAGTGATGATATCCCACAATTATTATTAGTCAGCTTTATCACCCTTCTTGTAAATTTGTACAATAACAGACTTCTTCCACTGATCAAGCAATTCTTCCTTATTCTAAATAGAATTAATGAATTTATGGATCTCAGACCATAATATTTCTAAGCACACATACAAGTATATACAGCATATAGATAGATATCAATCTTAACACTAGCTGTTATTTCCCCTTCATTCCCTACTATCAACTTCTTCAAATGAGCTTTGTCTCCCTAATTCCTTCTCTCTGTCTTCCTGCATTCATCTTCACAGGTTTCAAGTGCTGCTGTATGTAACTTACTTTGGTCTGGTTGTGTTTTATTCAACAAAGCAAGATAGTCCCAGAATCCACTACACTGCCACATCTGTCTGTCAAATTCTCTTTTGACTTCCTCCATGGCTGATGTCTGTCTTAAATGGCAAATATTAAATGCATGATATCCATCCATGTCAGTGCCCTTCATCTTGAATAATTTATTCATTTCTATCACAGGGGATACAATTTCTTGTTGTGGTGCCTTATTCATTTTAGTGTCAGAAGAACCTGACCTTTGCTTTTGGTGTTCCAAAGTTCTTATGCATTTGCCCTGTTCAGGTATCTCAGCTGTTTGTGATGTTTCAAGAAGCCCCACACTGAATCTATTTTCTTCCACTTCAGAGTTCAAATGTGATAATGACAGCCTCTGGGTTCTGCTCTTTTCTGTTTTCTCATTCACTTTATTAGCACGCAGCTGCCTCATGTACAGTCTATTCTGTTCCTTTTGCTTTGCTGTTTCTTCAGGAGTTCTTCGTAGCATGGACAACCGCTTATACATCCTGTTCCTTTCTTTCCGCCTTTCAACTTCTTCAGGTGTGTGTGATGCTCGAAGCCTTCGCATATATAGTTTATTCTGTTCTCTCTGTCTTGCAGCTTTTTCTGGAGTCTGATTCAATAAAGATAACCTCTTGTATATCCTGCCCTTTTCTCGTCGTCTTTCAACCTCTTCTGGTGCTTGAGATGCTCGAAGTCTTTGCATATATAGTCTATTCTGCTCTCTCTGCCTTGCAGCTTCTTCTGGTGTCCGGCGCAACACAGATAACCTCTTGTACATTCTACCTTTCTCTCGCCGTCTTTCAACTTCTTCTAATGACTGAGAGGCTCGAAGCCTTCTCATGTACAATCTATTGCGTTCTCTTTCCTTCTCTAGTTCTTCCTCCGTTTTGGTCTGCTGGTATTTTCTGGTTTGTCCCACTTTGCTGGATTTACATCTCCTTCTTCTTGTGTGAATTCGCATATATGCCTTCCAAGCTTCTTTACTGTTAAGAGCAACAAAGGCAGAAAATAATTTTCTTTTAAGATCTCCCATGTCCTAGAATTATGACAGTTTCATGGAATCTTTTGTTTCAAAATATGGTGATGAAGAATCACAATGGAAATTACCTCAAACAAATATGCCCATACTCTTTTTGTACCTTCACATGTTCAACTGTAACTTCTTCACAAAACAAATTTCTGGAACATTCCATAAAACTATCACAATTGTGCAATTTTGTATAAGAAGACCTGCAAAGTCAAAAAATGCAGAGCAAAGACTTGGCCTCTTGCTATGTAACTAAACAAGGAAACAGTGTTAATCCTAAAGAGTACTAACTTCTGGGATGTAATGCTATGTAGCCCAGCATAAGTTCACCAGCATTGCAGAAGATGTACTGCCACCATCTTCAGGGTAAAAGTGTAAGCTCTACTTGCTGCCTACATCTTGCCAGCTGCTTGTTTGGCTTACTCTTCAACTCTGAAGATAAAGGTAGAATGTTCCTTCAAAATGTTACCAGATTACATGGTGCTACATCCCAGACTACTCTTCACAGTCGCCACTATGAGAATCTGAAACCAAGCAGTGTTAATCCTATTTCTGGTCTACACAAAACACAGATGTTATATCAAAAGCAACAGACCAGCGGTTTCCAAAATGTGGGTTGAAGTGATTATGATTCCCAAAATGTAATAATACTAGAAAAATTCTGATAAATATCAACTGATAAAGCCAGAACATGTTTATTTTAAAAACAGAAAACTTAGTAACCTTACCTTGTATATGCACACACCTATACACATAGAATTAAGATAGGGGATGGGTCATTTCTAAGCTGAAGGAAGTGGCATTGTGTACATATGGACACTGCAATACAGCAATAAAAAACTGTTAAATGTGGCTATATGTTGATCACGATTTGTGTTATGCTAACTGGTATGATAAAACAAAAGCATTCCCTCAGGACAACAGTTTCCTTTTAACATGATTCTCTAGGCACCCCTTTATGCTAACAAGTCCCAAAGAGAAAGACAGAGATACAGTCATTCCTTTTTTATCCAGGTAATAGTAAACCTATAAAGAAGAACCTCTAATGATAAAGTGATATAACAAACAAATTTTTGCAAATTTTTGTTTTGTTTGCTAAACAAGGTTCTCATTACAGATGTTTCTACATAAGACCCCACTGCACACATGATTCTACTGATTCTACAGCAGTGCCTGTGTACACATTACACCACACAGAAATTGTATTTATTTGATTAGTTCATACACTATATACTTCCGTCACCAAAGCAAGAAAAGGTTATAGTCACTTTAATTCTTCACTCAGGACCTGTTTTGGCCATACAGGGCCATCATCAGGTGTCTGTCGCTATGCTAAACTGTTATACTGTACTGAATGACACAACTGCATGTGGCCAGTTATCAGTACTCCTTAATTAAAATGAAAATTAAAAATTCATTTTAAAATTGGTCAACCTTATTAAATTTAATAAAACTTTAACAAAACGTCATTGTTTAGTTTTTATCTCGCGACTAGAATGCTGTCATTGTATTCATTTGCAGCCATCGTAGTTTTTGCGTGTCGTATTTCTCCCTTGTATGTGTTACTAGTGCAGTCTTCCTATACAGGAATGTACTTCCTTCAATTCCAACACAAGAAAACATATGAACATTAATAGCTAATTTCATTACTTTGGAGCCTTAATCAAGTGGTAATGCTAATCATTTGTACTTTGGAGCAACCTGGTTTGAATCTCAGTTATGACAATGACTATTCTGACTAAGGATTTGATACAGCACCTCAAATGAGGTCACAACTACTTATTCTTCCATCCTTTCCAATATACAAGGTGGTTCAAATATGACCGGGACTGATTTTTTTTTAAAACCAAAATTGCCCAACATTTACTTGCACATGTCAGTCTTCAATGTAATCCCCTCCGGAGTCAACACATTTTTTCCAACGTTCTGGAAGCATCCTGATGCCCCTTTCAAAAACGTTTTGTGGTTGGCAGCATATCCACTCCCAAACATTCTGGATGACGGCGTCGTCCACAAACCGCATGCCTTGCAAGTCTGATTTGAGTCTTCCGAACAGGTAGAAATCACTTGGTGCCAAATCGGGACTGTACGGCGGATGTGTCAGAAGGTTCCATTTCAATTTCCAGAGGGTTTCCATTGTTGTTTTGGCCGTACGGGGGCGTGCATTGTCTTGAAGGAAGGCTACCCGCTTTCCACCTCTCTTCCGCTTGGATCAGATCTTTTCCTTCACGTCTGTTGCCAGGAGGTCTGAGTAATAAGCTGCATTGACTGTTCTGGCATCTGTCAGAAAGTCTACATGGATAACCCCGTGCCAGTCCCAGAAGAACGTTGCCATCACTTTCCTACCAAACGGCTCCTCCACACTCTCTTGGGTTTGGGAGAACTGGTAGTATGCCACCACTTGCATGATGATTGCTGGGACTCGGGAATGAAGTAGTGCACCCACGTTTCATCGGTGGTCACTATAGACTTCAAATATGCATCACCTTCGTCTTCAAACTGCTGTAGCAGATGACTGGCAACTTGCATGCACACCATTTTGTTCACGTCCGTCAAAGTGCATGGTACCCACCGGGCATTCACCTTGCGATAGTGCAGGTGGTATTTCATGATGTCTTCTACACAACCAACAGTGATGGACAGCATTGCTCCAAGTGCCTTGATAGTGATGCGCCTATTCTCACGAATAAGCGCGTCTGCACAATCAATGTTTCACTCGGTGACGGATGTTTGCGGCTGACGATCATGCGGTTCATTCTCCATGCGCTCTCTGCCCTCTCTGAAGCACTTACACAACTCAAACACACGGGTCCGTGAGAGACACTCTTCCCCATACTGTTGTTGGAGTCTGTGGTGAATTTCAGTGGGTGGGACGTTTTCTCCAACGAAGAATTTGATCACAATGCGTTGTTCCACGCTCCGCATTACCTTCTGTTCACTCATCACTCTAGCATCTTCCAGACAGGACTGAACAGGTTCTAACCCTAACAGGAGGGAGGGTGGAGGTTGTGGCTTCACTCTCTCAAGGTCGCACAGCTGCTGCACAGTGCAGCTTGTTTACAAAAAAAAATCAGTCCTGGTCATATTTGAACCACCTAGTACTATTCACTACTCAGTGCTCTGACATCACTGAATAAACCATAAATAAATTAATAAATAAATAAACAAACAATATATTGCAAATATAAATGTACTGTTTCAAAGCTATTCACATTACACAGAGTCAGAAGGTATCTCATCCTGTATTCCACCAAATATTAACCAGTCAAGAAATGTTTCATACAGAAGGTATACATCATAACAAGATATGTACAGTATCAGACTACATTGAACCAATGCACAGGTAGAACACATCGAATATATATTTGCCGAAACAAAATGCTTACATCATATTTTATGATCATATAATGACAAATATTGTGAAATATGCACACCTAACATACCATACATTAACAACCCATACATCATAGAAACTTGTCACTGGGCTCCACAATTGGGCTTACTATATAGAAAGCTTCTAACAACAAAGACCTACAAATGACATAACCTGCCCAAATCTACACTGTAGCATTAGAACCTTAGAATTAAGCTGGCATACATAGTTTCTTAACCTCCCATACTAAATAGTTTTAAATATTTTAATTTTTTGAAGTATATTTAATATTTATATAATATATTCAACACTTATATCACCTAATATATCTTGATATATGGCATATATTTTATCTTTTATCTTATTTTATATCTTCTATTTTAATTGTAATACCAACTTGAGGCAAAGTGTATCCGTTATTTATAACATGAAACATTGCACTGGTATGGATCCATATTGGTAGTTCAATAACTGAACGTATTCCTATATATAACTGCCTGATGATGGTCTTGTATGACCAAAACATGTAGCAGGAATAAAAAGTTAAATTGTAAAACAGTAAAAGCCAGTATATGTGTTGTGTTGATGGTTAACCAATTCCTATATATATGTATAGTTTAAGTTACATACAAATTTTCTATACAATAAGCTATTTCTGAGAATATCAATAAAGCCTGATTTGAGCTTTATGTAAAATAGGGCTTAAGAGTGGTCTATTTAGTGTAAATTCTGAATATCAGATTTTACTGAAATCTAAATAGTAGCCTCATAAATGAAAGAGACAGATGGATGGTTGACCTGACAGGCAGGAATGTAGGTAGGTAGGTAGGTAGGTAGGCAGGCAGACAGAGAGACAGACAGACACTCTACTGTACGTACATTTCATGCAAAGAATTAAAAACAAGTTTAACGTTAATGCCTGTAAAATGTGAGCTCTTAGCACTTATTTATGTATTTATTTGTAACTTATTTAACAACACTTTCAGCAGTCAGACTATACAGCACAGAATGGATAGATGAAAGTGAAGGATGACTTGGAAGGAAGAAGCCAAGGCCTAACTTAGGTACTATCCCAGAATCTGCCTGAATGGACTGAGCAAAATTATGAAAGACCTATCAGGTTAGCAATGTTCCAGCCAAGATTTGAAATGAGCACCTCCTGAATAAGAGTCAAGAGTGTTACCACTATATCAACCCATTAGGTTTAACACTTGTTTAACCCTTTAGCGTGGTTTGCCATACACGGTACGCTGGTATTTAAATGGTCCTAACTGCGGTTTGCCGTACACCGTACGCCAAGCTGCAAGCTTAATTTCAAAGGCCGATAAATATGGAATGAACCATGCCAGCATGATGACGATTGCACTGGGCTGTTGTGAAAAGAATGTGCTCTCTGTTCATGTAAACACAACATTCAATTTCCTGCAGCTCTGCCAGTCAGTCTAAATAGAACGCTGACCTCACAGTTACGATGGCCGAGTGACTATGATATCAACATACCACAAAGATGATATGCGTGTGGTTGTGAATAAAGCAAACAAACAAGAAACAAAGCCCTTAGTTGTTTGTGATTACAACAGAAA